AGTGTTCAGTTTATGAAAGACAACAGGAGATCACCTGTTGGGCAGGCAAATGGCAGTGCCTGACAAGTATTCTGCTATTATAAAGAATAAAGATATATGTTCATATAAATACTTAAGAAAAGATAGCCACTAAATACTGACACAGCTGAAAAAGCAATTTGTGAAAGAATATGAATATGAGTCCATTAATACAAAACAAAAACTGAGAAAAAGCAAAACTATCTGCTGTATGTATGCTTGTAATCACAAGGAAATATTTGGGGAAATTTATAGCCTAAACAGGAATACAACTAATAATACAGTGAAAATTACATTACAGATAATAAATAGGGATTACATTTAATAATTATAGCAAATATATATACAATATCTACTATATTAAATATTGCCAGGCACTGCTGAATTGAGCAAACATTAATTCATTTTATCTTTATAATCATTTTATAAGGTTTTATTAATATTACCCTTAATTTACAGATCAGGAAGTTGACACAAAAAGAGTTAAATAACTTGTCCAAGGCAACAGATCTAATAAGTATTAGAGGTGTAGTTTACCCAGAAAATCTAGTCCACAGTCTAGGCACTTAATCCCTGCAATATGTATTATTTTATCATATAAAAAAAAAAACCTATTACCTCTCTTTAAAATCCATCCCAAAGGGGTGTCTGGGTGGCTCAGTCCATTAAGCATCTGCCTTCAGCTTGAGTCATGATCTCAGGGTCCTGGGATTGAGCCCTGCATTGGGCCCCCTGCTCAGCGGGAAGTTGGCTTCTCCCTCTCCCTCTTTCTCTGCCCCTCCCCCTGCTCATACTCTCTCTCTCTCTCAAATAAATAAATACAATCTTTCCAAAAATAAAAAAATAAAATCCACCCCAAAACAGCAGTAATAGTAGCAACAACAACAAAGCAGAAAGTGTGTACATGAAGCAAAACTTGGACAATCATTGCAGATTGTCTTCAGACCTCCCCAACAATGTTCTTACCTTTGGGTTCCTTTTCATCTTCTTAAAAACCAAGTTTCTCCCCATACATACACCCAACCCAGGGAAGCTGCTCAGGATTCCAAACCCCAGCTTGAGTCTCACTTTCCTCCAAGAGCAGCACCCCTATTTTTTTCTCCACTTCCTCTCTCATTTGAACATGGCTGTCCCATACTTCAGAAACATGCCTTTTTCTTGACAAGTTGGTAACTATAATAAAATGGGATAGTTGTTTGCCCAAGGTGGTGGAAAAGTTTGAGAATGTAGAGAAATGAAACCTTGCATTCTAATGTCTATAGAAATAATGAATACTTAGGTTGTTTTGAAGATCTCAAGGAGCTTCCACATACAGATGCTCATTTAATTCAGTCTTCCTGTTGACGTGATGATGGTTTTCATTCCTATTCTATAGATGAGGAATCTGAGTCTCAGTGAGGATATCTAATTTATCCATCATGTTCTTGCTGCTAGGAGTGGGAGAGCTGATACTAAGTCTGATTATTCTTTCCCCAAACTGCAGCCACCTCCTTTTACATAAACTTCTTCTGTCAAGAATTTCCACATGTTACCTATGAAATCTGTGGCTAGAAGAGTGAAAATTAATGATCACTGCTGGAAAAATGAAGCCTGAGTGTGAAAGAAATAGAAGATTAGGAAAAGCATGCCATTTACCTGAAACTGATTGCATGCACAGTGGCATATTTTTTTTAGGTTTTATTTATTTATTTGAGAGAGAGTGTGAGCAGGGGTCGGGTGGGGGCAGGCTCCCTACTGAGCATGGAGCCTGATGTGGGGCTCGATCCCAGGACCTCAGGATCATGATCTGAGTGAAAGGCAGATGGTTAGCCAACTGAGCCACTCAGGTACTCCCTCCCCAGTGGCATATTTTGATTAAAACCATCTAGCCTTTGGGCCTGTCTCACTTTAATTTTGACATAGTCTTGTAATTTAAGCTAACTGCTAGAAAATACTCATGTCTAATGAATGAACTCTATTTTTCCTTCTTTCCTAAATACTTAGCTCCTCTGTTCCTTTATCTAGAAAGAAAAGGTTATTATAGCTGACTGATTTGGGTGATCTACATTGGTAATAGTCATGTGTTACAAATGTTTTATAAAACATAGCATAACTAAAAGATGCAAGTTTAAAAGTAGGGAAGGATCTCATAAAAAAAAAAACTTGTCCCCACAGTGCATTGCGAAGAGTTTGTTGGTTTAAGAAAGGCAAATATGGAAAGTGTTTAGAGATCGGATCATGAAATGATGCAAGCCAGGCCTTTGTTTCTGCAGTAAACTTGTGTCAAAAGAGGAAACAAAAGTATATTTCTTTGCCAATGCTTAGGGAAGACTCCTTTCTCCTTGCTAGCCCCCCAAATCATTGACAGATTATTTTATAAGGCACAAAAGTTTAGAATGTGGAAAAGTAGGTATCAGTCAGAACAGTTTTTCAACCTTTTATTTTCAAGGCATTAGGTAATAACTGGATACAATCTGAACCGGTTTGCCAGCTCTCTACTAGTAAGGTTTCTTTCTATGAGCTAATTCATATGTCCCAGGAGAAAGGAACCCCCATCGTTCCCCCCTCTGCCCCGTTAAGGAGGCTCACAAAGGTCTTGTTGTGTATACAACCTGCTCACTGCATCTCTCCTCCTCAGTGACCTGCCTTCCTCTTTTAGATCCAAAATAATTCATAGGAAAGATGCCTCACTATAACGTTTCCCTTTGAATTTGGGATGCTAAGAGGCAGATTTCTTCTACTTTCCAACAAAAAATATTAGCAAGCATCCAAAAATTCTCATAACATAACTCAAGATATGAAAGCTGCAGACCACCTCATGCATTCCTTCTCTTTCCTTGCATAGATTTTCTCTTCTTATAGAACTTAAGTAGATTATTTCTTTGGCACCAAATGTCCCAAGCCTTGTAAAACTCTGGGCTCTCAGATGCCATTTGTCAAATCCATCATCTTTTCTGCTAAAGGAAGAGTAGTTACTGGGCAGAGGATTTGGAAGCGTATTCACTTGCAAGTCAGGATCGCTTAAAGACCCATCTAGGGTACCTGTCAAACTAATGTTGGAAATACCTTCAACCATCATCCACAGATGTTTGATTATGGAGCCTCTGGCTGAATTCCTGGGATGAAGGGCCAAGGAGAGAGGAGTGTTCCTTACTTCTTCTAGGAGCAGTCTCTTTACGTTGAGCAATTATGTTGAACCCCCTGCTGGAATGATTCTCCAGTTCTCTTAGCCTTGTTTCTGGAGTGAGCTGAGAGAAAATTCTCTCTTTATTTCCATTTCCATACACTGTGTACTTTTTTTTTCTTTCCATACAGACCCTTTATAAGCCCTTTTGTAAAGCTCTACATTCTCAGGAGGTGGTGTCAGCATCGAAAATATCCCACGTACCAGTTACTAGAATCACTTTAGTTTTGGGGCGCCTGGGTGGCTCAGTGGGTTAAAGCCTCTGCCTTCAGCTCAGGTAGTGATCCCGGAGTCCTGGGATCGAGCCCCGAATCAGGGTCTCTCCTCAGCGGGGAGCCTGCTTCCTCCTCTCTCTCTCTCTGCCTGCCTCTCTGCCTACTTGTGATCTCTATCTGTCAAATAAATAAAATCTTTAAAAAAAGAATCACTTTAGTTTTAAAGGAAATAAAATTACTTTTGCAATGGGAGACATTAAGATGAACATGAAATTTGTGATGACTTCAAGCTCGAAGAAAATTCATTTACACATATATGCACACTGCCTTACTATCTATCACTGCTCTGACTTCATCTGTGACCTCATTTGGGGCTTCCAAAATTTTCCATTGCTGTGGGAAGCTCATTCTTGAAGACATTTAGCTTTCTCATATTATAACCCTGGCTCTATGTGAGCCTTCCCATTTATCTCAATATCTCCTCTGCACAGTGAATTTTTTTTAAAATTTTATTTATTTATTTGACAGACAGAGATCATAAGTAGGCAGAGAGGCAGGCAGAGAGAAAGGAGGAAGCAAGCTCCCCGCTGAGCGGACAGCCCAATGCGGGGCTCGATCCCAGGACCCTGGGATCATGACCTGAGCTGAAGGCAGAGGCTTTAACCCACTGAGCCACCCAGGCGCCCCTGCACAGTGAATTTTTTAATTGAAATTTTCCATTTGACAGTTCAAGAATTTTGAAATAACAAGATATGCCTGATATTGAAAATGAGCCATGAAAAATCCTAGTTGACATGTATTCAATCTACCACTTCCTCACTCCTCGTTCCATGTCATTGAGGTTTGCATATTACTAAGAATGAAGGGCAATTTTTTTAACTTAAATTAATTAACCAACATACAGTACATCATTAGTTTCAGATGTAGTGTTCAATGATTCATCAGTTGTGTGCAACACCCAGTGCTCATTACATCACGTGCCCTCCTTAATGCCCATCACCCGGCTACCCCACCCCTCCACCCATCTCCCTTCCAGCAACCCCCCGTTTGTTTCCTAGAGTTAACAATCTCTCATGGTTTTTCTCCCTCTACTTCCCTTTCAGTTTTCCCTCCCTTCTCCTATGACTCTCTGTACTGTTTCTTATATTCCACATATGAATTAAGAGGGACAATTATTTTTAATAAAAGGGGCAAAATGGGAAGGCATTCCACTTACTAATTAAAAATCACCCCTTGATCCCTTGATTCAAAAGCAAATGTATCCAGAAGTTCTGAACTGATTTTAATACATTTTTTATCTCCATCCTGAAGACAAGCTTTATAGCTTAATATAGTAATAAAGGGATATTTTAAAGACAAGCCATGACAGTCAAGTGTCATTCAGCTGACTAGTCAGAAGTATATACTCTCTCGTCCGTTGTTGCTCATAGTTTCATAGGATTCCAACCTTAGGGCAAACTACTACACATTTCTTCCTAAGAACATACTCTGAAGACACTTTGTGCCTTTTTCCTTGCTAAAGGCAATCCAACAGTGTTTGTAATGATGAAGGAAGAAACCTCAGCAGAATGTCTCACTTGTACATACATGTTTTTATTTAACAGAAAAGATGACTCCCCAGGCCGGGGCTTCCACCACTGAGACCCTAACTCAGGAGGAGCACCAGGTGCAGAGAATGATGGCAAAGCGTTCGAAAATCATTAAGGAGCTGATACAGACGGAAAAAGACTACCTCAATGATCTCGAGTTGTGCATCAAGGAAGTGGTTCAGCCCTTGAGAAATAAACAGGTAAATGCAACTTGGAGGGTCCCCCCCCACCATATCCTAAATATCACCAGCACCATGAAATCAGATCATCCAAGTGTAGTATCTGCTACAGCGAGGGTGGAGGGGTGGGCCCTTTTCCTCGAGGCCTGGGCTTGGGGTGGTGGAAAGTAGCATCAGATTCATATTTCCTGTGTCAGCAGAGGGACACCCAGAGTCCCTCCATCTGGCCAAGAAAACTGTATTCCAAAATATGGGGAGAAGGAAGTTCACAGTTTCTGCCACTTTGAAATTTCTATGTGTTCTTTCCTGGATTCTTACCTGTTGTGAGCAACAGGTTTTCAGCAGTTTAAGAACAAGGCACTTAATTTGATTCAAAGATGATCAAGGATTTGGAAGGAAAAAAATGTGTTTCCTCCCCTACATTGAGAGCTCAATTAAACTTCAGCTGAGTAAAATTCAACATAGAAATTAACCTGAATGTAAGGTAATACTTGAAGTGTTCATAAGTTAATCATTCTCCTCCTTTTTAATCAAGGCCTTTTGGAGAATTTCTTGTAAGGAATTAGAGTACAGGAGTACAAGAATATTTGACTCACATATATCTGCATGTATTAAGTACCTGATATTGTAACTGGCACTGTTCCCAGCTCTGGGGTTACAGCTTAGTACAAAACAGAGTCCTGCCCTTATGGGGTTTACTTTCTAGTGGGAGAGAGGAAGAGTCAGGTGATAACTAATAAGTTAATAAACAAATATAAATTAAAACATATTAGATGGTGGCAAGTATAATGGAGAAAACCAAAGTGGAGACAAGGGATGAAGCATGGGCTCAGAGGGGTAAGGTTTCTATTTCAAATACGGTAGTAAATGCAAATCCTTCCAATGGGGGACATGACAGCCAAGAACTGAAAGGGCTAAAAGGTGTTCCAGGCTGAGGGGAGAATAAGAGCAACAACCCTGAGGAGGGATAACCTAATCACGAGGGTGGTAAACAGTCCTCATACACAATTGAAACAATATACAAAAGCACAAACTTGGAAGTAAAGATGATCAGAATCCCCCTGCTTAAAGATCATCACCGTTCACATGGTTGGGAAACATCTTTGCAAACATCAGTTGGGACATTTACATACACATACACACACCCACGCACACACACCCACATATATACTGAACATATATTTTTACATAAATGTAACCAAAACTACACAGGTTATTTTATAACATATTCGTTTCATTCAGCAATCTGTTGGATGTTTCTTTTCGTGACTACGGACACCTACAAATGTTTTTCTACTGTTACTGATGCTGAGACACTCTTTTATGATTTGGGTTTTGTCACCTCATCTCCTTAGAATAAATTCCTAGAAGTGGAATTGCTGATCAAAGTGTATACATATTAGGGATTTTGATAGAAATTTACCAGCTGACAACCAAAAAGTCAATACCGTTCTAACTTTCATTCTCATTAACAGTGTTTGAGAAGTCAAAATACCTTTTTATATATTCATTAGCCATTTATTTTCTCTTCAATCCCTATTCATATTCACATCTCTTGCCCTTTTTTAAAAAAATAGGTTTGTCTTTTTCTTATTGTTTTACAAAACCTCTTTATATATTAGGGATATTCTTTTTCATCCCACATGTTACAAGTAATTTTCTCAGTTTTTCTTTTGCCTTCTAATAAGATAAAAACACAGAGGGAGGCAAACCATAAGAGATTCTTAACTATAGGGAACAAACTAAGGATTGCTGGAGGGGAGGGGCGTAGGAGAACGGGGCAACTGGGTGATGGGCATTAATGAGAGCACATGATGTAATGAGCACTGGGTGTTATATGCAAGTGACAAGTCACTTAACTTACCACTGAAATTAATAATACACTATATATTAACTAAATTGAATTTAAATTTAAATTTTTTAAATAACCTTGTTTAAAGTTAAAAAGTTAACCCTGTTTAAGGTTTATTCATTTGATTTTGCCATGTTTAAGTGATCAAATATATTTAACTTTATGGATTCTGAGTTTGGCATCTTAATACATACCACATGATTATAAAAATATTGTTAGCTAGTTGTCACAACTTCAATTATTACATCCTTCCCCCAGGACTTAACAACATCCAGAAGCAGAGTTTATGTACTTAACACAAGTCTCTTCTAAGAAATACTAGAAAAAATATCTGGCCCTACAAGTTAGGAAAAACCAGTATAGATCAAGGTGACCTTAATTATAAAAGTTGGATTTGGTTTTGGTTTAAGATAATATATAAAGAAAAGTGGCAAAGCAGACTTGGAATTTTTCCTTCATATGAGGTCACACTTAGTTTTACTTTCTCATGACTTTCAATAGGTACTTACTATTGATCAAGTCTTGTTTCAAAGGCTTCCTTGGTATTCTTACTTAATCCTCTCACAGTTCTCAAGTTGGAAGGTAATTGGTCACTTTCCGAGTCTGGAGATTTCTTATTCATCCTTTAAGGTTAGGAATAACATTAAAGATCATGATAGAAAGTTGCTCGCTGGTTTTATTGCTAAATATATAAAAATATTTTTGGTGTTTTAAAATTTTTTTAAAAGATTTTATTTGTTTATTTGACAGAGAGAGATCACAAGTAGACAGAGAGGCAGGCAGAGAGAGAGAGAGAGGGGGAAGCAGGCTCCCTGCTGAGCAGAGAGCCTGATGCGGTACTCGATCCCAGGACCCTGAGATCATGACCTGAGCCGAAGGCAGTGGCTTAACCCATTGAACCACCCAGGCGCCCCTGGTGTTTTTAATTTAATAATTCATTTAATTTGGTGTTTTTCATTTAATAAAATATTTTTGGTGTTTTTCATTTAATAAAAAACATTTAATAGTGTTTTTCATTTAATATTAATTTCATTTAATTTCATAAAAAATATAAATATAATTTAATAAAACTAGTTGTGTCTGATGTAGTCTCTGTTCTGGACAGATATTTATGGTTATTAATAAAATGTTTGTTTACATACTTATGAAAATATTAATTTTAAGTGCACATAACATCAAACTCCAGACTCAACAACAACCTACCTGCCTTTATGATGAGGTTTTACTAGTCACTCCTATTCTCTGAAAAATTTAGACCTTTGTCCAACTTTCCATACCTTCTCCCTCTCTCCAGGTCTGACATCAATGTCAGGTGATTTCTCTAAATAGGCAAATGGCCCACACAATCACCAGGCCTCTCCACCTGTTCCTTGACTTGCTCTTATCCTGAGATCTTTCCTTCAACCACACCATCTGAGCCCCTCACTCCAGGCACCATTCCCTAGAGCTGTCGTTCTGATTCTTCACCCCCCTCAAAATCAAAATTTCAGGCTTACCATTCTCTAACCTTCACGTCCTGTGTTCTAGCCCACTCCCACTAGTTCCCTCTCCCTGACAAGTTTTGGATGCCACAAGGGCTAAAGTCCTTTCTCATCATTTCATTGGGAAAATAGACACAATAAGAAGATGCACTCTCTCAACACCACACCTATCAACTTACCTGCATCTCTACCCATGTCAGCTGGCTAGTTGTTTGCTTCTAATTAAGGACAACTTCTCTACTAATGCCATGGACTCTATCCCCTCAGGCTTCCTCAAGGATTTCACTTCTGCCAGTGTCCTTTCTTCCTCCTGTATGTTGATTTTACCCTCCCTATTGGATCAATCCATCACCATTACCTGCTATCTTAAAAAAGCAAAAACTCTCTCTTGACTCTGAAAGAATTACCTAGGGGAGCCTAGGTGGCTCAGGTCATGATCTCAGGGTCCTGGGATCGAGATCCCCACCCCATGTTGGGCTCCCTGCTCAGCGGGAAGTCTGCTTCTCCCTTTCCCACTCCCAGTCCCCCTCGTGTTCTCTCTCTTGCTGTCTCTCGTTCTGTCAAATAAATAAACAAAATCTTAAAAAAACTCTGCATTTAAAAGAATTGTCTGTATTCTCTTTCCCTTTTTAAGTTGTATGTGAAATACATAATATGTATAAAACCATATGTGACTAAGACATTTCAAAATAAGCACAATTTATCAAAAGTCTGTATTTGTGATGAGTTAATGATCAATATTAAAAAAGACAATATGGGGCACCTGGATGCCTTACTCAGTTAAGCACCTGACTTTTGATTCCAGCTTGGGTCATGATCTCAGGTCATGAGATGAAGCCTCGTGTGCGTTCCGTGCATGGAGCCTGCTTAAGATTCTCTCTCACCCTCTGCCCCTCCCCCACATCATGCCTGCTTTCTAAAGAGCACCTTTTCTTTTTTTTTTTAAATCAAATGGAATAAGACGTTTATTCAGTACGCAAATGTTCTCAATTTTAAACTGTTTACCACACTGGTGAGTTAAACTGGCCCCACCATTATACATGCCATTGTTGAGCTATAATCTCATATATGCACTCTGATCATTGTTTGTGTTTTTGCTTTGTTTTTCTTATTTTTGCTTACTGTGTAACTCTTTTTTTTTTAATTAATTTATTTGACAGGCAGAGACCACAAGCAGGCAGAGAGGCAGGCAGAGAGAGAGGGAGAAGCAGGCTCCCCGCTGAGCAGAGAGCCCGACGTGGGGCTCGATCCCAGGACCCTGGGATCATGACCTGAACCAAAGGCAGAGGCTTTAACCCACTGAGCCACTCAGGCACCCCTACTGTGTAACTCTTAAGAACAATTTTCAGAATTAGTGTTTCAGACTGTGTAAAATAAAATGTTTCCCTCATGATGATATATAGTTTAGCTGGCATATTTAACTTTTACTCTCAATACTTTGAATTACTGTTTTCTCACTTCTAACTCCTATTTCCCTTGTTATTCTATTCAAATGGTTTATAGCTTTGTTGATTTTCCACAACTGGCACTTCTCTTTGCTTAGATCTTTCGGTGCTCTCTGTCTGCCTCCTTGTGGAATTTGATTTCATTCTAGTGGTCTACTTGGTCCCCTCCACTCACATTAAAATAGTAGTTATTCAGAAGTTTCTCAGTTCTCTTGCCCCATCAACCTTTCCCCCACTTTTTAA